TTCCGAAAAGCTGAAAAATAATTATACTTAGTATTGGCTTTATGGCCATGTACAATGTCGAAAGGCATATGGAGCAAATGAAACCCCTTCTAGCCCATAAACAATTGCATGGCCATGGTAAGCCTATCTGGAGAGGCATCTTATTTCCACCAAGCTGGAGCCTGATATTCAGATTTGATCTCCTTAACCTACTTGGAAGAATGCCAAATTTAAAATCATTAAACACCCCCGTGCGCACACACACACATACCAAGAGCTTTACGCACTTTATTCCCTGAGCAGAGAGGTTTTCAGCCATTGCTACTACCCCAAACGACATTTTCCTCAATTATTTTTGCACCAGATTCTTTCTATGAAAGCCTGCTTGTTCTTTTGCATCCCCAGTTTCCCGTCTCAAAGTCTGAAGACTTCTTATGTGACATTTCTTCAATTGACAGCCTTCTCTCCTGACTCAAGGGTCTCAGTAGGGCTCTTATCCTTAAAAGCGGTCAGAAATAACTCACACATTTGCTTTTTATACACTGTGGTGCCACCCATTTAATGTGACACTAAGCAGATGTATAGAAATAAAATCTGCCAAAGAAGGGCATTTCCTCAGTTTCAAAAGCCATGATTTTTGCAATCCCACATTCTACAAAAACAAGATGTTATCGTCCTTCCATTTTGCCCCAGTGCTTAAACACTCTCTCTAGGCCAATCATTAACATTCCTGTAAAACGGCAACAACACTGATTTCTGCGTGTGTGGTGGTGCATTCACCCCACCCCTCTTCTGGGCCGTTTGTTGATTTCAGAAATTCCCATGAAACCTCGGCCTTGGTGTACTGAGTCTGGCAGCTGAGCGCTCCTTGACCATATCAGGAACTCTGCGTAGCTGAGGCTGGGAACGTACTCCTACTGCCTGGCCCAGGTGTCATCTTATCTGAGTCATAGCTCAAGTGGAACAACGCTGAAATCTTGAGAATTTTTTAGTAATTATCACCTGGGACTGTGGCCAGAATGGAAATTTATGGATGACCAAAGCCAATCATCTTGCAAACCTATAAATGGTGGTCCTAAGTGAGACTCTTCGAGCTCTCCTGGACTGCAGTGGGCTGTGCCCAGCATCTCCCTCTGAGTGGGACACCTCTCACAGCTCACGACCTCTCGAGTCTGCAGTATTTGGAAGACTGAGCCCAGATCCCCTTGGATGACAAACTCTTCACTTCTCGAGGCTCAACCCTCGCTCGTTGAGAAATGCTGGGACATTTTATGTGGATATTTCTTCACTGAACTTGAGGGGATTGTACTTTTGTACATTAATATATATATATTTCTGTCTGTGTGAATTGATAATAAGCATAATCTGTAATTAAGTCACTGTCGTGATTGTAGTAGACTCTACTAACTTACTTTGTAAATGTTAAATTAGTTAATGATTAAGTGTTGCTAAAATCTTATGATCTGTACTTCATCCGTGTAGCAAGGAATAGAGTGAACCTTGCCATTGAACTCTGTTAAGTCACGCCTTTATAAATTTCTATTAAAATCATTTTCTGCTAGTACCTCTGATGGTGATTCTTTAAGCGGCCTCTAAACCACTCATTCACGACAGCATGTAAGCAAACACTCTGCATATGTGGTTAAAGATTACTTTTCACTACTTCTAAAAAGCTTCAAGGCTATACAAAAAAGTATGCTTTTCTGAGCCCACCAAGAAAGCCTGAAAATAATCACTTCATGTTTTCCATTTTTGCATTTTATATTATATACTGTGACATCAAAGGAATTGATTCACTAGGGAAAAAAAAAAAGAAGTCCCATTTCTATTGTCTATTACTAAGAGGCAAGAAAAAATTGAAGTCCTGCAGAGCGGAAAACAAAATCCATCAGTTAGCTCTTGCATAGGTGACTGCTCAAGTCATAGAAATATGCAGTGTGTAGGGTAAGATGACACAAAGGTCAACCAGTCCAGAACACACTGAATTTTAATGAAAGACTACTACTTTAATGAGACTTGATGGGTGACCTCAGGCAAGTTTCATCCTCAGTTTCCCTACCCATACAATACATCTGGAACTGAATAAGCATTTAAGTAATTAAGTGTTATTAAGTAATTAAAACAGCCAAACAGCCATTGTTTGTTAGGATAGACTAACAGTCATCAAGTACCTATCACAGGAAGAATGGACATCAGAGGACACGAATGCAGAAAAGCTTCTGAGTAATACTGATTGGGGCAAAAAACTGGCTCTGCAAATATTTCAGCAAAAGAATATAGTGCTTCTTCCTAGGTAACTCAAATACTACGAATGAACTAGAAGAAAAAAATACCCTGAAAACCAAGAAGAGTTCACTGAAATTTTGCCCCACCTTTACAGTAATCTTTGAAGCAAACAAGAGGCACAGCAACAAAGCGATATACCAAGGCAGGATTATTTGTATGAATAAAAACTGGCAAGATCAGTTTTCCTCCTGCTGGTGAAGTAAACAATCAAGAAAGAATGCTTTAAACTGGATACACCTTACCTCATAGGCTGGGGCCAGTTCTGTTCTGACTTCTGTGTTTTGACAGGGACAGCATAAATATCCGGGTGCTTCTGGGCTATTTCAAGCTTTAAAAGAAAGTAGGAGAAAATAAGTGTTCTTTTTAAGTCTATCCATTAGGGATCCTAGACTGTAGATCTAGCAGGTCACAGCTACATCTGAAACAACTGAAGCACAAATTGATAACTGATCTTATTCATATTCCTACAATTATATAATCTTTTGCTAGAGTAGTAATTCAAAGTGCACGTGAAAACAATGGATTGCCAAAAGCATCAGGATTAAAGTCAGCTTTCTGTAGTTACAATAGGAAGCCTTAAAATATGTCCTCTTTTTACATCCAAATCCACACAATGGTATGTCTATATGTGTGGTTTCCCAAACTTCTCTCTCCAGAAGCAACAGAATGCAAGGGCATGATTTTCATTTTCAGGATGCAGTCTGTTCTATATGCTGGAAAGCACAGCAGGGGGAGAATGCATCTCTTCATACCCTGGCATTCTGGGCCTCTTGTAGCTCTTGCATTCTTTGCATCCTCGCCTTATGATCCATCTCCTCAAATATTTTCACTTTCCTCAATACAGATTTTGGAGTATTTTCTTGTTCACTTTCTTCCTCCTCCAAATTTGTCTCCTCCTCCTCCTCTGCAGGTGGGACTGCTGGCTGAGAGTTTCTCAGGATGGGACGCCCAAAGGCAGGTTTCACAGAAACAGGTGGTGGTGCTGCTTTAGCTGACACAGTTGAAGTCTCACTGCTGACAGCAACGTTACTTGATTTGGAGTCACAGTTCTTGGGGAAGTCATACAGATCCTCTTTGTGTTGTAACTTTCCCTGTAAGCATAAAACACACGAACAAAGTTTACATCAGCAACTTCATAATTTTCATTTCAAATGAAGGCTTTAATCTGAAGTTAATCATTTCACCTATGTATATAACAGTGTCAATCTTCATCCGAAGTTAACACTTGAAATGTATTTGAACTGCTGTAGCATTTTGGCCATACGCTTATACACTATACACATCAACCTACAGAAGACTAGCACATTTAGACTTGTTTGTCCCATTTGTTAAGGATTGCCAGAACTACAACATGTGTTAGGGGACCTCCCAAATGATTTGTCAGTACTATCTAATGTAGAATATCACTACCAGGAGTTTAGAAGTGCACAGAACCCAAGTCTGTTTTCTAGTCTATCTTTATTTTCCTTACGCATGTCCTACTCTGCCCAATCTCCATTGTCAAGGCATACTTGAATATATTTTGAATACATGAAGTACGTGAGGGCACCCATCCTCATAAAGAAAGGACTCTGGGGTCAGGGGAAATCAGGAATTGCTAAAATAGAATTTGGTGTCCAAACATCATAATTTTTTTTTCCCTGCATCATTCCTGAGCAAGGTTTGAATAAACAGGTAACATCAATTTCTAGTGATGGAGACTGATTTCAGAGGTGGTAGATTCTGGTTTTGTGCTTCACAATAATGGCATCAGATACACTTTTCCTGATGATTAGCCTACATTTGTTCTTGCTGAGCTAAAAAAGTGCCTTTCAATTTGTTAGCAGACACAAAAAGGAGTCTACTTTCTTATTCATTTAGAGATCACACATACTGGAAGAGAACTGTTATCCTTTTAAGTTTTCCCTCTGCTTGATCCTGCAACACCTTCAGTCATTCCTTCTCTCCACACTTAAAACGTCTTCTGGCCTCTGATCCTTCCTATTGCTCTTCCTAATGTGCCACCCTGGAGAGTTCTCCAGAAGGAGGAACTTTGTATTCAGATTTGTTTTTACAAGTTTACCTTAGGCGGTTCAGGCTTGAATGCTGGAGGTGGACTCGGTTCTCTAAGAATCTCCCTGCTACCAGCTTTTCTCAACTGAGTCCTTGGTTCTGGACTAGATTTTTTTAAACTCTGTGAAAGAAAATAAAGAGATAAAATCACTGCAGTATCCAGTAACGCAATCATTTTTTTTCTCTCTCTGAAGTTCACTATTTTGGGAACAGTAACCATGAGTCAAATGACTGTCAGCAACCTGACCACAATCACTGCAGATGTAATTGCAAAGTTCAAGATGATGAGACATCATCAGGAAATCTATAGAATTAGGTAGAAAAGCAGAGCTATTATTATTTTTGCTCTACACAATATAGCTCTAAAACACTATCAGAGGTAAGAAAAAGCTGCAGTTTAAACAACTCTCATTTTTAAACCATACATATAGGGCTTTCAGAAAGTCCAAGGTACAGTCTTGTTGAAAATCCAACCATCTCACCTCCTCATGATGCACAGGTTCAGAGGACCGGCTAACAGATGAAATCCTTGGTTCGTCCAAGGGTTCATCAAGTTCATTGTCAGTGTATGCACCTCCTTCTCCATCTGTATCCTCTAGGTCACTGATCAGCCGACTGTCACAACTCAAATAGTCAACACCCATTGCAGTAAGGTAAGACATACGATCATCTGCATCATCTTCCATGCCGTCCATCTAGAGAAAAGTCAGTAAGAATTAAGGAACAAAGACTAAATATGTAAGAATTAAGAGTCTAGTTAGTTCTCAACATCACGCCAAACAACTCCTTACGAATGACTTTGCAGAACTGAAAGAAACTCTAATGCAGAATCATAAAACAAAGTCCTGTAAAAGTTTATCCCTCCTCACCATTCTCCCCTAGCCGCAGCATTAGTGATGAAAGCTCCAAAGCATAACAGAAAGAACAATAATAAGTAATTTTTTGTTACCAAGAAAGACATGAACTGACTACTTGTCTAACCTATCCAGCATTGGCAAACAAAATTTCGAACAATTTTTACTGGCAAGAGATATCTTGAGACATCTGTATAGCTTAGTACAGTATGGACTGACTGCTTACCTTTCCTTCTGATACCCATACTGCTTCTCCTTGCTGTTGCTGAATTGTATCTTTCAGACTGCCATACCAGCTATCGTTGGCTGAATTCAAATTAATGGTGGCTGTAAAAATTGAAGGAAAAAGTATATATACACAGCAAATGCAATGTGATCCTTTATCCAGTCTTTGCTGTTTAACACTTTTCATTTTAGTTATGTGAGAATGTTAAGCAGCCATTTCATTTAGATCATCGACAGAAGCATGGTATTTTTATTTCCTTGTTCGTCCATTCCCCAAGTTTATTACATCACTTACCTTTTAATGACAGTATGCCGATTCACAATTTCTTTTATATTAGAATTTGGGAGAACAAGGAACTTTGAAAAAAGTCAAAGAAGGGATTGCTCACGACCATACCTTCACACCCTTTTAGTTCCAGCCTGCATGAGTTAATATGCAGAGCAGTAAGTGGACTCAAGACTGACACAGTCACATCCACTACTCTCTTGGTAAGCAGGTTAGACACACATTCTTCCTTACCTGTAAAGAGGTGGGAACAAGTTTTCTTCAGTTTGTTTGCTTGCTCATAAAGTTTTCTTGAGCTCTTGTTAGATGTGGAACATAGCCTTTGTCTCATGGTTTTCACACCCTGCTTACTGTCTGGGTTAAAGAAGAGCACAATTGGAAACCACTGGGTATAATTTAGCAGGTCCACTGCTTTAGGAGTCACATCCAACAGAGCATGTTTATCCTGTTAACAAGAAAGCCCAGTCAATGTACTGCTTGTGGGGAACAGAGGAGGTGGTTGGAACATGGCATCCTAGGAAAACCAGGATATTTTTGTCCAAGTAAGACCACAACTTGTTGGATTTTTTTCCACAGTTATATGACATTCAGAAGACACAGCAGGCAGCCTTTTCCTTTCAGCTCCACTTTTGTGAACAGCTTTTGCCTGAATGTCCACATTCTTATGTTAACTAACTCTCATGTTAAGTACTCCATTTTTTTTTTTTTTTTTTAAATAGGTAGTGAAAGTTAACTAGCTTTTCTTTCTACCTGCCCCTATCACAGCTTCCACTACCACAACTATTCTGGGTGCTACCTGTGAGATACTGTCTACACTTACTAGCTGAGGCAAATCTCACTTTTTTCCTTTAATATATTCCTTCTTAGCTGCTTCTAGTGCAAAGATGAATGGGATTTTCAAACGTGTGCTTCAGTGGGACCTCAGCTCTGAACAGACTTCTGTGTGACATTCTAACCCTTCTAGCATCAATTTTATTGGTCTCAGGGCAATAAGCTGTGGAGCACATTCTTTTTGCCTAAGTCTTTTAGGTTTCTTTATTACCACCTATTTACTTGATCTCTAAACAGTATTATAAAAAGAGTCAACGCAGTCTCAGTAGATGCCACTTAGCTATCACAGTCACTTCCTGTTCAGTTCAACAGTAGTAACTCTGAAGCAATCTAAAATGTTAAGTTTCTGACGACAGTAAGAGCAAGTAGAGCACTGCATGACAGTAAAGCCTCCGTGGCAAATTCAGAAAGCATATAATAAAACACAGATGCCCCTCTATTCATATTTAGAATGGGCTAAGGAAGGAGAATTTAATTTCTAATATCCCTCCCACTTGGAGGAAGCTATCAAAATTATAAAAATTGTTGTTGAACAATTTCAAAAACAACTCTATCATTAAGCCAAGTCTGCTTATTGCAGAAATAGATGCAGTGAAGATGTGAGGACTCTGCAAGTTTTAGGAGCAAACAAATCAAACAACGTGCCTTTGAGTGTAAGCAATTTTCACAGAGAAATACTCTACCTGTTCAATGATTTGCCTCACAGTGTTCAAGCGCACTACCCCAGTTGACTTCTCTGAACCTGCGTCTCTGGGTTCTGTCTCTGCAAAGACAACATTTTAGCTTATCTAGAGTGGCTGGGCAGCTGGGATTATTAAGTTACCCATTCTCTCAGTTAAGGATGATAAGGAAGCTAGGAGGACAACTTACTTGCTGTCTGGTACAGATGAGGCAAATCATTTGACAACTTCTCCATAGCGACATCTGCAATAGGGCCAAATATCACCACAGGTCTCTTAAAACCAGCTGAAAGAAAAATATTTGGAGAAAAGATAAGTCTGCTATGACTGGTTTTATATATAAGTGAAGTGGCACAGGCAAGATCCTCAATTACTATGCAAGGTTATGAGTAAGTTGAAGGTATTAAAAATATATTTTAAAAATGGTATTTCTCAAAAGTTTGTGCAACAGCATAACTCATACAGAAAGCTATTGTTATCAGCTGAGAAAGCAAAAGAGATTGTTTTAATTTAACAGCTTCCCTATTCCTTCTAGTGAAGATGTATTGAGAGGATTCTGCATTCTGAACACATACAGCAGATCTTCAGTAATCTTTCCATCCAGCAAAATAGGATGAACCTTTACCCAGTGGGTTTTGTGTGAATAAAGATACAAATGCTAAACCAGCTGCAGGGCAGCTCGAAGAAGCAAAGAAATGCAAAATTATGTTATGCTTCTGTCAAAACAAGTGCAAACACAGTCCTCATAAGTTAATGGGGGAATGCCATTCTATTGCTCAGTCTTCATCTTGACATCTGTGAACTCCTTTAAAATACTTTTTACTATTTGTTTTGCTCCCCAATACTGTCATGTGCGAATACCCAAAAAACTATCTTGACTTGCTCAACATCACTAGTAATATAGCTAGTTTAGAGTCACAGAGATGAACCACATCAACCTTGACTACATTTGGACAATCTGTTGAAAATACTTGGATTTTATTTGCTCTCAAAATAATGTTAATGTGGTATTTATGTGCAAGCTAAAGACTGTGATTGATCTCAGGCATATGCATTGTACTTTCAGAGCTAGCCAAGGGGAAGCTTAGGAAACAAGAAAACCCTGCTTGTCTCTTCCTTTTTTCATTTTAAACCTTGGAATTGGCACATGTAACTTGGAGGCAAAGAACAGCAGCAGTTTAAAAACATAAAAACCTTTTTTCTTAGAGCAGTTAATAGCATCCAGAAATTTGCATTCTGAGAAAAATGCCATCCCTTCCTGTTACTCAAATTTAACATTGAACCCAAGTTGTTCGAAATCACTTACTTAGCCGACCAAACATTTGGATGCTAAACCAGCCAGCAATAAATTGGCAGCTGGCTCACAGCAGTCTTACTTACCCTCACGCAACTGAACTCGCTCATAAGCTGGGAATTTTGTGCTCACAGATACAATAGCTGTCAGATCTTCACGACTCTTCCTCAGATTCTTTTTCACTCCAGAACGCTGGCCACGTGTTCTCCAGAAATCTGCCCTATCACTTGAACCATCTTTTTGGGCATTTTGAACACTGGCCATCTGCTCAGCTCTGACAGAGAAAGCACAGAGTTCATTTGTACAGAACTAATCAAAGAGGGCAAAGGCTCTTTCACTGAAGAACAATGGATTTTGAATTTGTAACAGGTAATTTGCCAGACAGCTAGCCATGAGTGGAGGAAAGAATAGAGAAGTCCAGGTTCTTTTGCCTTGGAGCAAACACAGTGTCAGAACGATGCTCCGACTCGCCACAGCTACAAGATTGATGGGCAGGAATGAGTCCTCAGGTCTTAAACTGGTAACTCACACAAGCACAAATAAAGGAATGCAACTGCAAAGAGGTGGTGAGAGTGCAACTCTGAACTGAAGGCCTAAGAAATTACTGTCACTGTTCTCTTCTCATGAGGCCTTGTAAGTTAAGTCACTACAGCATAGAAACACAGGCTGGTTTGATCAGATCAATTAACAGAGAGGACAGAATGTATGAACCAGGAAAGAGGCAGGAGTCACATAAGAAGTGTATTTCAGGAACTTCTGTACAATGCAATTGTGAGCTTTTTTCCTCCATCTTAAAATCAAAACCATGCTCAAGAACTTAAAAGCTACAGTCTAAAAATACCCTGATTTTTTTGCTGACGAATTTTAATACTTTTACTGATTGTGCACATTTGAACACTTATTATTACCTCACATGATTTTTCACTAGGAAAGGATATTTAAGCAAAAAACATTGCTGTGGTTCACTCAGTATTTCACACAAAAATAAGGACTACAGCTACAAAGAAACATTAGCCTTGGAATAAACTCTTGAAACATTTTCCATAAGGATATACAAAAGAAATTCAAGCACTGAAGTTATTTTAAAAGATTAATCATCAGAGTATTCTTGCACACACATTCATGAGCTTCCTAAGGTGTAGGGTTTTTTTGTTGTGGTTTTTTTTTGTTTGGTTGGGGTCAGTGGTGGGGCGGGGAGAAGGAGAGGGGGGAAAAAGGCAAAAAAAGCAAAAATAGGACCCTCCACCCATTTTGTAGAAGAGGAACAGAAGCAGCTAGTGGTCAAAGCTTGGTTGATTGCTGAGACAGGAGCTCTAGGTCTGCGTTGCAAATACCTGATCTAGTATGTAGGTAATACCATTCTCTCTCATCCCCTCCTCACATAATGCCATGGTTCTAAAATCTAGTTTTACAGCCACAATCGTTGTGAAAGTAAAAACAAAGCAATTTATTCATTCTTGTAAGGGGGGGGGAAAAAAAGGAAGAAAGGTATGACATATGAAGCAAAAATCATTTAGAAAAAAAAAAAAATCTTACTTCTAACAATGGGTAGGAAGACAGGATGCCACCTTACCTGCTCTTATTTGGAATGAGGCCCTTTTCCAGTTCATTCCCAATTCTCACGGCCAGCCAGTTTCCAAGTTTGCCATCATACAGTGTATCAACTACTCTAAAGATCTCCCCTCTGGTGAATGCTAAGCTCTGTGGTGACTCTTTTTCACACTCAAAGTGGCTCCTGATGAAGAATGAATCTCCTCTGCCACAGGCCATGATGTCTCTGTACACTAAAAGAGGAACCCCCCTTTAGGTCATTTTTTTTTACATTTGAAAAAAAGATTAAGCTGTTATTCTACAGAATAGTTTTGAAATTCTTCTCCTCTACTGAAAAAAATGCAAAAAACCAGCCTTCACATCCATTGGCCTACACACACATTATCAAGAGTGTTCTATACTTGTACACGTACAGCCCTTACAGCTCTGAGGGAAGGAGCTACTTGCACCTTCCCAAAGTAAAAGGCAGCTATGGTACTTCAATATTACAGCAGGCTGTGTCTCCAACAAGAAAGCAAGAGGCTTTGCTTTCTCTTTAACTGTTCATCAATAAACATGTCCATGTGCTGCTGTCTGACTGAATCCCTTACGACCGCCAAGGCACAGCAGAAAATGAATGCTAACAGCAGATCTTGGGCCAGCTGCTACAAACAGAAAAGCAGAAGGAACACGTAGTACATTGCCACTCTTCAGGATTAAGACGAGATGCTATTTGATAATAATGAAAGAGATGGAGAAGTACTCTGAAAAACACATCACACATGCACATCTATATGACCCTCGTGGTATGGAATACAGATATCTCCTAAACTACTGAAAAGGAGGGTAACTAAAATGCTACCAAGAATAAGCACAAGAGAGATTATTTGTGGTTTCACTGACAAAACAGAGCTTAAAAGCTTCATGGATATACATACATCTTATTCAAAGCACCTACCTTCATATTTGCTTTGAGCTAAAATTGTCACTGTTTCACCTTTGGGGATTTCTAAGAGATACAGAACAGCATCTTCCCGAACAATGCCTCTGAAGTCTTGAGTGTTTACCTATGTAACAAAAAAAAAAATTTACCAAAAAAAAAAAAAATCAACACATGAAAAATCAACAATAAAAGGAATAACCAAAGATTCCTGTTTCATCTAAAAAGTCTTAAGGAATATTTTATTCAAGCCATTAACAGTAATCTTTCTGAAATAACAACATCCTGCATGTCCACTGCTAGATTGTTTCTTCTACTTTAACAGGCTCCAAAAGGCCTTGAAAATCAAAGAGAAAAGAGGCAGAAGAAAAAATTACATTAGCCTCCTATTCGAAGGAAAACAGAAAAAAAGGAGAATGTAAGAGGACAAAATGGCATAGATGATATAATTCAGAAACTGGAAAAATAAATCACTGTTACCCAAGGAAACTGGAGAAAGATGAAAGAAGAAAAACATGCTGGCCTCATTTTTTTCCTCCTCCAAGACTAGGAAGAAGCATTGTCCAGAAAATTTATACTTCCATCTTGGAGCATTTTTCTTGATTAGTATTTCCCTGTCGTGGTTTAACCTGGCAGGCAGCCAAATATCACGCAGCTGCTCGCTCACTCCCCCCGCCAGTGGGGCGGGGAGAGAATCGGAAGGGGGAGAGGGAGAAAAACTCGTGGGGTGAGATAAAGACAGTTTAATAGAACAGAAAAGGGAAAATAATAATAATAATAATGATAGAATATACAAAATGAGGTATGCACAATGCAATTGCTCACCACCCGCGCTGACCGATAACCAAGTAGCGATCGGTACTTCCTGGATCACGCCTACCATTCATATACTGAGCATGACGTCACATGGTATGGAATACTCCATTGGCCAGCTGAGCTGGCTGTCCTGATTATGTTCCCTCCCATCTTGTGTACCTAGCTCAGTCAGTAGACATGGGAGCTGTCCTTGGACTAGGAGGGCACTTAGCAACAACTGAAAACATCAGTGTGTTATCAACATTCTCCTCATACTAAATCCAAAAAACACAGCACTAGGAAGAAATTTAACCCTATCCCAGCCGAAACCAGGACATTCCCCTACCTACCCCTTCCACAGAATCTTAAACAAACTAAAGCTTGATATACAATTCTCCTTCAAAAACTCATTTCAGTAAGATCCCTCCACCACACATACACACTTCCAAAGCACTTATGGCTTCCTAAGTCCATAATTTCTTCCATATTTCCACTAAGAAGGAAACAAAAAAAACCAAAAGTGATTTGCATTTCAGGGACACATACTTGCACTCATACCTTAAGAATCTGATCTCCTTCCTGCAGTCCCTCTTGATCAGCTGAGGTGCCTTCTTGAATTCCAGCAATAAATATCCCTACATCATTTCCACCAGCCAGTCGTAGACCCACGCTGTCCCCTTTCTTGAATCTCACCATTTTTGTATTAGGACTACAAGATTTACAGGCAGAAAAAGGAAGTAAGGCCAGATGTTAGGCATATGACAGTAACAGGTTGTCAAGAGAAAAAAATTGCAACCTTTTCAACAAAATCATATTAATAATAGGGCATATTTACCCAGGTAACTCTTCAGTGAGGGAAGGAAGCAGGAAATTTGCATTTTTTATAGTGGAAACTGAACTAGGAAGAGTGACTAAGTGGCATACACAGACTTGACAGAGCAGGAAAACAAATCCCTGTTTTTGAAGTACCAAAATAGTCCCCCACCTATTGGATCCTCTCCCAGATGACCAGCCAGGTTTTTTGTGACAACAGCCTGAGTTGTAAGTAATCATACTCATTGTTTTTCCCTCTGTATGCTTGAGAACTGTCACATGAATTAAATTTATACCTATTTCCTTTGCAGTTTAACATGTTTGTTAGACAAAAGTCTTCCAAGTTTTCTTGTAATGAGAAGTATTTCCAAGTATACTCTACTGGGATGTTAACAATCAGTCCTTTCATATTGCTGTGGGAGAGGCTACTGGACTAGGTTCAGCTTTTTTGCTCTCAGAAAAGCTGTATGCCTGAGTGACCTTCCAATACAGAGGACAGTACTTATCTGTCAACCTTTTCCAGTAATACCCTAAGCCTGTATTATAAATTCCCCTTCACCAAAATAATCACTTGATTAATTTGCACATCAATGATAACATATGCAGAGCCCAAACCAGAAAAGATCTGAGAAGAGAATCCATTTGAGAAAATACTCCAAGCTACAGAATATCTTCAAAAACTTATCTTTAGGCTTCTCCTTACAATCTCAGTGCTCTCCCTTCAATTTCTGTGTTTGGAAACTCTCAAAAGAAAACACGTAAGTTGATTTCCTATTAATACAGCTTGCAACTTTTAGTATCTTAATTGTTAAAGAATCAACAGTACCAGGCTCCATATGACCACTTAAAAAAATAATCACAAAACTCCCCACAAAAATAAACCTTGGAAGCAGTATTTTGTTAATTTCTAAGCAGAGACTAGAACTGCAATACGGACTGCACAGGCTTAGATTTGAAGAGACGAGACAGATTTCTGTACACAAGTTTCCAGCTTACACAGAAACATAGGTCTGGCCTTGTCTTTCAACAAGCTTGTTTACAAATTAAACAGAGGACATTCTCTTTGTATCTTAATATTGCAGGAAAGGGGAGGGTTGTCTTTTGTGTACATATAAAATGACAGAAGAGGTGTAAAATACATTTCCATAGAATTACACAGGTTAGATGGCCCTCTGCTCAAAGCTGGCTGTTCAGGGCCTTGACCAGTTATGTTTTTGAATATCTCTGGTTGTGGAAATACCACAACCTACAAGGGAAAGCTGTTCCAGTGGTTAACCACCCTCATAATAAAAAGTTTTCTTCTTTATATCAAGTCAGAATTTCCTATGTTCCAGCTTGTGTTCCTTGCTCTTCATCCCACTACTGTACCCCTCTGAGAAGAGTATGGCTCTGTTTTCACTACACCCACCAATTAGATTGTTGCAGACAGCAATAAGACGTCCCTTCAGTCCTCTCTTCTCCAGGCTTAACAAACCCAGTTTTCTTGGTCTTTTCTCAAATGTCATATACTGCAGCCACTGACTCCCTAGACTTGCTCCAGTGTGTCAATGTCTTTCTTGTCCTGGGGAGCCCCAAAATGGACATAGTACTCTAAATACTATCTCAAAGTGCCAAATAGAGCAGAATAAAAATATAAAAATATACCATTGAGTACATTCCCATGCAAGTCTAGAAGCATAGGGTGTTCTATACCTTCTATACAGGTAGAAGGCAAGCCTATACCTTCCAGGCAGATACTTCTAAAACTAAGTTTAACTCAAATACAGTCATTTAGAAGCCATGTCATCTCTTCTTGGCATTAAGCTATAAAGGGAGTATCACTCCAAATGAGTAAAAAAACCCAAAACCCATGCAACCAAGAACCAGGTACAGGTCACTGGAAGAACACTGAGTCCAAAACAACACAGGAAGTGCCGCCTTACCCATAGATTGCTTCATCTTCAGGGCTGGGTTTAAGAATCGTTCTTGTAACTGCTTTTGGTTGAGACACTATATGTAAAAGCCAACAGAAGTTACTGAGCTATTAAAAAAGTTGTAAATAGCAGCAATTTTTAGCTATCAGACAGCAATCAAACCCCTCCACGTCAAAGACTAATACAGATTTAAATGTAAAGCACCTCTTTGACTAGAATTGATTTACTTCCCTTTTTTTTTTTTAAATTCTTGAAGAAGAACAAAAAGGTCAAGGGAGGGATACACAACTCTCTCAGGCAAGCCAGATCAGACTTCAGGAATAGCTTCATTTGGCTGCTTAGGGCAATAGGTTACAGTAGATTCTCTAGGAGAGTACTTGGGTTTTGAGGTGGTAATTCTAATAAGCAATTACCTTCAAATAATCTCAGGTGTTTCTTGTCTCTCTGCACCACAAAGCAAAGACAAACCTCTTCTCTGTGTGTCAGGATGGGGTTGACATGAAGAGTATACTAGATACGTCAACATGATTGGGGGAGTAGACATTCTGTGGCCAGGGGAAAAAAAGCAACCAAAAACTTCAAACTCTGACCTGCTAGGTCATCTTGGTACTTCAGTTCTTTGTTTGTGTCCACAACTGTAACAGCAGGAGTAGCAACGTCACCAGTTGATTTGAATGGTGTAGGCATTGCTCCCATCCTGGACAGCCTACTGGATGGATCATCTTTTGCACTAAAAGAAAGAAAAAGAAAAAAAAGTGTTGTGAAATCAGGTAAGAATGCCATGTATTTTAAGAATTTCTTTGACAAGCATTAGAAAAATGGACTAGAAAAGACCATTTCTTACTTTGGTTTCTCTTTCAGCTTTTCATTGGATGAATGCAAATCTGGATCAGAATGATGTAATCTGTCATCTTGAGGGGAGAATGATCTGTTTGAATCTATTTCAGAAATGTCTGTAAAGAGAGCAGCAAATCAAGAAATGCAGGATTTGTTTAAATTATCTGCACATCTGATCACCACATTTACTTAGAAAGCTTTCATATATAGGATATGCTGAACCTTTAAGCTAAAATATTTCAGGAAGGTTTCACACAACGTTTAGAAAACACACTCACATCACACAACTACTTTGAGCATACCATAGACTCATTAACTAGTGTTAGCAGCCTTTTATTTGAGGTCCTCAATAAGAGAGTCCTCAGTAAGAGTAGCCCTCAGACTTGAACCACATGGCAGTCTTCACAGTAAAACCTACAAAAGTTGCACACAGTATTCTGACATCAGAGAAGTAAATATCTTGCACTAAACAATGTAACATCCTGCTCCCTCAAACACCCAAAGCAAGATTATGTTGAGAGATACAGCTCATACACTGTGAGAGATCATTTGTACAGAATAGATACTGGAAATAGGAACCAGTTGTCCAGGGGGACTTAATTTCTTCTTGTCCTGACATTTTTTCCCTCCCATTGAATGCTGTCATGAATGTTAATGCCCTCAGAAGGAGAGACCAGTCCAATCCACTTGTTTTTAAAAGTCTTCTATTAAAGCAACTGAATTGCTTGTTCTGAGAAGCAAGACTGATTTCGCCAGACCAACATTGCTTCTTCTATCTCTGCCCCTGCCCAAAATCTAATTACATGATTACTACAAAATTCTTCTTTCACCTAAATGAATTGAGATTGGTGCTTAATTGGCTATTACTTAGGTTTGTGTTTGGTTATTTTGTTTTGTTTGTTTGGGTGTTTTTTTTGGTTTTGGGTTTTTGTGTGTGTGTGTGTGTGTGTTGTTTTTTTTTTTTAAAGAACTTAGTACCACTCTACCACAGCAAAACACTATAAGCTCCATTCTGACCGTGTACAGAGTCCAGAACTTTTTATCCACATTGAACCTCACCATCCATTTCTGAGTCACTGTCGTTCAATGAAGGGATGTTGAGCAGTGTCTGCTTTCTGTCCCTGAGGACAACCAGCTGAAGCTTCCCCCGTGACTTCTCAATCAATTTTCGGGCATCAGCTAAAGACATGTTCTCTGTCACTGTACCATTGATCTGGACACAAAAAGGCAACAATAACACTACAAGTAAACAAACAAGCCCATACTGTGCTGAAGTTAAACTTGACTATAACATAACTTACTCCAGAGTAACCACTATAACAAATGCCTGCTAAACGGCTAGCAGTATAACCAGCACAGACCTTGAGAATGATATCCCCTTCATGAAGGTTTCCATCTTTGGTTGCTAGGCCAGTATGGGTCATTTCTTTTATGAAGATCTGACTTCCAAGCCGGAGACCATATTCTGGAATCAGGGAAATAATCCACTGTAGCTTAGAAGATGAGTGAGGATGCATTTTTTTAAAACTACACAGTGTACATGCAGCACACCCCACTACACCATGAGAAAAGAAAAAGAAAAAAATCGCGGACCTCGTAAACCCACTTAAGCCTAGGCTAACTCTCCTATTTCTGTGCTGTTGCCACAGTAAGAACAAACAGCACTCCACATCACAGATGGATGATTAGTCTGCACTTTCAACAGCAAAACAATGCCTTCGTTCTGGAGGTGCTTATTAACATGCTGGACTAGACTCTCTATCATATTTTGCACGGCGTAGAGAGGGAAAATGGTCAAAAAGTGCTAACAGAAGAGCTGGTTTTTTTACCAGTTGCTGCATGCCGACCCTGTCCTATCTGAGACCACTAAGTGTCTCAGTTGTTTCAGGCAAAGGGTTTTTTTCCTTTCCCTCTCCCTTTTCTCCCTTTGATCCAAGTTACTTGGATCAGTATATTTGCTACTTAAAAAGAAAGGCAACACTCTTAAAACACACACATCCTAGAACAACAGAAAAAGAAAGGAACAGTTACCTGCTTTAAAAAAATCACATTAGATCAAGTCTGCAGAATATCCATATGGATAGCAGAAATTACTACGGAATTATTAGCTACATACGAAACTTAACAAAGACACCTTAAATTTCTCCTTATTTGTATACCTATCTGCATTATCTTGACAAGTGGAAACATTATATGCAGGGGAAGAAGGGGAAGGAGGGAAAGGGATCCTTGCCAGAATGAAAAAAGAGGTTAGCTCCTGCACACAAAGCTTACATGAGCAGAAAATTCTTACAAATCACAACAGGGCAGATTAGAAAAAAACAACCCACAAAACCCCCACAAACCAACCACCACACCCCCCAAAAAAAAAACAAACAGAAAAGAATACACAACCTAATCTCAGATACGCGTTATAGCACAAGAGTCTTTATTTCATAGCACACGAAAAGATCAGGCTTTTGGCTTTCATCTACACACACCAATATTCAGCAAGGAAAGGCTGTTTCAGCTGTTGCTATTCTTTAACTCCATTCTGAAGTATTCAGAATGAAACAATCCTTGGAACTAATTTAATTATACTGAAGGGAAGAAGTAAGTGCCCTATTAAAGGCAGAGTCTGCTCTTCACCCTTTGTAGCTGGCCCTTTTGTAGATCTGCCAAGTGTAATCTGAATCACGACCAGATCCACGTTTCCCACCAGAACCAGAAGAACACGCAGAGAAAACGGAAAACCAAAGGACACACGGCTTGAAAAGACTGAAACGATGTGGGTGAACAGTTCTTTGTTCAAAGGTAAAGTTCAAGGTGCTGGGGGAAAAAGCACCCCAAACCAGCCAGGAAGAATGAAAGAACAACTTAAAAGATCAGTTAGAAAACTCAACATTTAACCTGTAAAAGCAGAGAATATTCAGCTCCTCTCCCTCCCCCACAAAAATAACATGCTGTATTAAAAGTCAGGTCTTCTCCTCCCCTACTATACCTACCTTCATTATGTCTGCCTTTTGTTAAAAGAACACTGATCGGTCCGTTCTGATCCTGCGGTCCTAGGTACTCGTGTTGATGTATTTCAGGCGAAGGACTTCGGGAACAAAGCCTGTCCCGACTTCGACTCCTCACTTCCCTCCCATATCTAGGATCAGGTTGAGATCCGTGACTATAAGTGGGTGGGCTGTAGTCTCCTCTGTAGTCCCGTTCATAGCCACCATCTCTGTCAATGCTCCTTCCCCTGCTCCGATCTCTTCTATAGTCTCGATCCAAGCTCCTGTCAACGCTCCTACCACGACTTCGATCACGGCTGTAGCTGCATTCCCTATCACGGTCCCTGCTTCGGTTACGCCCTCTGTCTTGTTCATCTCTATAGCTCTGATCCAGGCTGTTTCCCCAGCTTTGGCTGCCCCCTCCATTACCACTATGCCAGCTTCTGTCGCTATAGCCACTTCGAGCACTTTTGCCATCAAATTCTGCATGGTCATCCATTACATCTAAAGCTCTATCCTCATAGTCAAGGGAGGGGCTTCTCTTCAATGCCGCAGCCTGCACTCTCCTTGGCCTTTTCACTACCTGTTCAGTGCAATACAAAACAAACGAAAAAAAAAAAAACAACCCTCCAATAGTCAGAATGTGAAATTCAACAGATGAATATTTTTCATACTTCAAATGGGGGGGGGGGGGGGGGGTGGGGGAGGAAAAAAAAAAAGAGCAATATTCTATTTATAGAACAACCAGTAAATTAGATTATTTAGATGTGCAGAAGAAATACTTACTAATTGGAGGATAAAGAACAGTAGGAGAATTTAGGGGGGGAAAAAAAAAAAATCAGATCAGCAACCACATTCTTTTACCTCTGCAAGAGTGTGAGTAATGAATACTTTTTTTTTTTTTCTAGATGACTTCTAAAAAATACAACAAGCCCCCAAAAGAGAGAGTTGTAGATGCCTCTCTCAACTAATGAAAGCCAATCTGGACAGCAAATTCTTGGACAAGGTCTGTGTATGCAGGATATAATTTGCGTCACATAATTTTCGTTTTTTCCAACTACTACCCATTATTCAGTAAAATTAAAGATTGAGGACATACATTTTATTCCCGTTTTTTCAACAAGATAACTTTGTGACACCATTTGTTTCACCTGTAGAAACTATGTCTTTGCTTTGGTTTTATTTACTTTGCACATTCTATTGGGCAAAGGCTTGCTTTGCTTTATGCATTTATAGTACACTTCATAGAAGAAAACCAAAATCTTGACTGGTTACTCACATACATACCCCTGTAGAGTGAATACATTTGTAATTTACTTACAATGGTGGCTACTTTTCCACTTTTCCTAAGCTGTTGGACTGCAAAAGAATGTGGAACATTTTCCATTGGGGTCCCGTTAACTATGACCACCCGGTCATTTTCTCTGGAAGAGGGGGAAGGGGAAAAAGGCGGGGGGGGGAGGAGGAAAAAAAGAAAGGATTTAAGAGGAGTCTTCATGAAAACACTGGAACAAAATTTCTTTTTTTCAGGGGGAACCTATAGATTTCATTCACTTTAACAGGGAGTTTTGCTTAAAAACTGTGTTTGTCATACAAACACTACGATATCTGAATACCAGAAGAAGCTTTCAGTATGTTTAAAAATTAGATTTGGGTAGCAGTGCGTATTTTTGTACATGTACTACGTCCAGCTTAAGTACTTTGCCATAGTGTCAAAGAAGATTTTGTTTTTTAAAGAATATTGTGATGACCATTAAAACTTTTATTCTTTTTTTTTTCAGTTCTTTCAGAACTCCTAGTCTTTCACACCTAATGCTAGATTTTTTTCACGCCAACATAAGAATTTCAAGGGAACTTCAAATTGCTGCAGCCATAGCAGTATTCAGACAAATCTTCACAAGTAACACTCTAGTACACTTTTCTGAAAGACTGCTATTCAGGTCCCACCTACTCTGAAGAAAGATGATTGGGGGGAAAAAAACCCAACCAAACTATAATACACAAAGTCCTCCCTGCCCTAAAACAGAGGCCAAAAGAGATTACTAACTTGTCTATTCAGACCTCCTGCATGTCAAGTAGACCATTAAGACTGAACTCAGTCACCCCCAGGAGACAGGCCCGTAACACCTGTTTAATTAAAAAACATATCTTCCAGAAAGGCATTTCAGCGCAAAAAGGGCAGGCGATTTAAAAAAAAAAATCTACCACTCCTTGTATTAGTTTATTCTGGTGTCTACTCAGTTACTAACCTTACAGTCAGAGCATTAGCTCAACCAATCACTGGTTACCGTACCGTTTTCTGCTACTGCTAGATAAAAGAAATCTGTAGTACCCATTATTTTCTCTTCACTGTAATCAAGTGAAATCACAATCTTCTTTTTAAATAAGAAGATTACATACTTTAAGCCTCTCTTTGTAAGGCACTTTCTGTAACTCCTGAATGATTTTTGTGCCTCTTTTCATACCCTTCCAATTCCTCTTACTGAATGAGTATGCCCAAACAGCACACTATATTCCAGTATCAGTTTCATCTGGGCTTTATGTGAGAGTTAAAATAGCTCTCTTCACAGTCCATACATCCAAAGACGGTATCAAACTTAATGTTGTAACACTACGTCAAGAGCTCCCATCTATACATGCTCACTCAACCCTAAAAACCATTGCAGGATTGTACTTCCCCCGCACTCTGAAGGTTAGGCCTATATTCCTTGGTTTGTTGGAGGAATGGCTTTGCATTCAGCTTTCTTCAGAACATGTTTTGTCTGAATGTGCCCAAATTGCTTGGTATTGCCTTGTCATCATCAATTTACCTAGGCTCTTACATAAATTGTGGCCATGATTTTATTCCCAAATCACAGGCGATTATGGAACAGGATGGACGATAGTGGTTTTGTGCAGGGATCACTGCTATAAAATGAAGGTTTTGTACGTTTATGTTGAAAGCGGTTTGTGACCTGCTTCACAATAATCCTTTTATCCACTAACTACTCCCACGTCAGCATTTTCATTACCTCACCAAAAATTAATGTTTGGCAAAATGGACAGAATCTACTCTTGTGAATTACTATTACTGCCCAACTTAGGCATTCCTCTAAATTGTCTAGTCCTCATCAGGTATTCCAAGTCAAAGGATGAAAAACTGGTCAGCAGTGGGCTAGAAACTGTTTATCTCAGCCTACAGATTTAAAATTATTTGTCCATGATAGATGCTGCCCCACCAAGGATGATGTTTCCAGAAGGACTACAGAAACACCTTATTTCCATATTTTTTTCTTTCAAATACAAAGTAAGTATTTAGCAAACACGTCTGTTTTTCTTTCTTCCCCCATTATTGCTGCTGACACCTTAGGAGTGAAGACCCTTCTTGGGCTGACTTAAGCCGTTCTCCTGAAAACTAATGATTGATCACTAAATGTGTTTCCTAGAGGAACAACAGGGAGTATCTTTTAAAATACTAAGTATTTCTACTATTTCTTTAAAAGAAATGCAATCTTAAGAGAAACACACTTAACTATAAAAGCTTTTCAACACCACTGAAATTTAATTTCTTACAAAATAGCAAATAAAAACACCTCCGAGTGGAGTTTGGGGTTTTTTTGTTTTGTTTTGTTTTTTTCTTTTTTTTTTCTTTTTCATTTAAAACAGACATCTAGGTTTTCAAGAGGGCATCAAATCTTGAGCGGATTAAATCTCCAGGATTTCAACCAATCCTGTCCAAAGGTTTTACGTATTCTACAGCCATGCCCCTCAAAATATCCCAGACAAAGAAATAAGAAATTGCTTACTGCAGTAATCCATCTGCTGGACCACCTGGAAGAACATCTGAAATGACTATTGATGTTTCACCATTTTCAAAATGAGGGTTATCTCTGCCACCAGAAACTGCAATCCCAAATCCTCGTTTTGAATCCTTTACAACAAAACAAAACACAACAAAACTCAATTCCATCCACAGGAATTTTGATAGGGAGAAAGAAGAGTAATGTGAATGTTACTGTGATGACACTCTACCTAGGTATTATCTACAATATGATAGTTGTGTGCAGAGAGTTGCAGAAATACAGAGCACCTCTAGATTCAAAAAGGAATGGGTTTACAAATCCATGTAACAAGACAACATGTTCCCATGTTCCAAAACCTCAGCCTACAGGTTTTGGATGGTTAGTAATTAAGCAAAGGACTCAACTAACTTAGCCTGCATTTTGCTCCACCATCCCATTGGTTATTCATACCAAATTTGTTAGATAAATCTATTTTGTTAGTGATGCTTGGGAAACTGGAACAGCTTTTCCAGGATCTCATCTTCATTGTGATTGCTATTTAGTTTGTAATAACTACCTACTCCTCGATCAAACTAAACAAGATCATGGCTGATTACAAAAAGCAGGCAGTGAACTTGTGAATTCTCTTTAATTATCCTCTCTCACAAACAACTATTTTAAATATGCAATTTATGTCAAGCCTGTCACCATAGAAATATCAGATCCATAAAAGCCCTAAGATGGCATTCATAAAATCAGGGAAATACTTAATAGGGTGCAAAGGAAGCATGTGTATAACACTAGACCTGAGAACTGTTACTGTAACTGAATGGCAGACGAGAAGGTGTGCACAAAACTATACATTTTGTTAAACACACAGGTTTAATTTTATCAGCTGTTTAACATACACCACCTATCACTATAAAATACAAATTATACTACATTTAGACAGTGGCAAAGTAATACACCAAATTAAAGTGGTGCTTTTCCCCCAACTCACACAGCGTGTGTAGTTCACCACATGCCAGCTCATGTTCCACTGATGTCCACTTCAGTGGTTATTTCTTTGAGGAGGAAAAAAGCAATGTATTTGGTTCTTTTTTTTCAACAGCACTTCACTTGCTGCACCTTAGTTTTACAGGAAGCAGTTTGATGCTTCAAGCCAAAACAATACAGAATTCAAAATAATGGTAAAATTCATTGGTAGTGGCTGACGCAGCAAGCCCAATAGCCTTTGCCACTTCAGTAGTATAAGCCTGTCTCTGAGGCAAAGTAATGCTCATTTACACGATATTGAAGATCTGAAAAGTTGGAAGTTACAGGAACTAAGGTCTGCTTCTACAATGTTTCTCCTGTCTACCTCCGTAACCTGAAAAACAATCGTTTCTCAACAATTCAGCACATAAAACAGCCTGTGTAGGAGAGATGGCTATTTTACTTTGGGTCATCAAGTTGAGTTCATTGTAAACATGTGATAAAATGTAAGCAGCACAGTACAGGCTGCTCACTGAACCCAGATCATTAGAACAGCCGGGAAGACCACCACCGCCGCTGCCAAAGCGCACATCCTGTACCATGGTGTGGCAGCCTAGCCATTAGAGAACTCAGAAACAAGAGGTCTACTTTCTTTAACTCAGAAGTACTCTACATAATGAGATACTTCCTCTTTTCTTAGAAGAATTGTTAAAAGTGACATCTATAGTCCATGTATTTTAGAAATTTTGATGATAGTAGTTTTCCACTAGATTCTACACTGGTAGATATTAAAGTATAAAAAAAAAAAAGTGAAATCACATTCAGTGATTATTATAAAGTCTGGACATTAACCACAACTGCTTGATAGAACCATCTGCTTTGGTTTTAAGGTTATTCAATGATGAATTTAGCTATGTGGCTGGTATGTGGTATATTATACTGTCATTACAAATACCAAACAGTAGCAAATATAGCACTTAAATTGTTAACTTAATTTACTCTTAACGTTAAGGAGTCACGCTATTCTATGAGTAACTAGCAATTAAGCTTTAAAATTAAAAACATCTGATTTGGACAACAAATTAATCCTATTCTAGACTCAGATATGCTAATAACATCTATCGCAAAACATATTGAGACTAAACCAGTGCTTGAATATTCGAAAACTAAAAATACAACAGGCACTCACTCACCTTTTGTAAGGTCACAGTGTACTGTTCCCATATCAGCTCTTCCATGCCTGGGGCCTGTTGCACACACAGAAACCAATTAGTAAAACACAAAGCATACAACTATCTAAATTAAAATGTGAAATACCCTATTAAAACACAGGTATAAAAATAATATGCATATTCTAATAATTTGGTAGAGTTAGTATGAAATGCATGTATTTCAATTAATGATGAATTTTCTTTTAAAAAGACAAAAAATATTAATAGGTCCAGGGTGGCAGAATCCCTTCACATTTCATCGATTTAACAGCTCATTCTGATTTTTTTTAAAAGTCTCATTCAGCAAAATCATTTAATTCAGACCACACTAGCATTATATAGCCCTGATTCAAGTAACACACAAAATACTTAAGGAAGACCTCTCCATTCCAGTATGCAATAAGATTAGCAGTTGAAACTGCGGTTTTCAAAATGAACTAGCCTTCAGATGTTCTGCTTCTTGTTCATGTGGATTTAACAAAATCTTTTGTTCGCTATGAATTACGTAACCGAGTATTTAGGTTCCCCAAGAAATTAAATTTTACAGGAAAACACAGTGTATCACTATATAGCACTGGTATATCCATTTCTGTGACACTTCCCAGAAACATTTTTTTCCCACATTTCCAGTTAAAACTGATCCTGAACTGATCAGTTTATCTTACGTGATATAACCTGAAATCTTTCCAACATTACAGCTTAAAATATAATACAGAATAATCACCCAGCTGTGATACATCATATAGTGCCTGCCCTGTAAAATGAGGAGAAAAATGAGCCACAATATTTGACGCACTGCAAACATTTCAAAATGCAAAGCATCCACTGCAGAAGAAAAATCCAGGCATTGCATGAGTACATGCATGCACATACTCAAGCCGTAGGTTTATTTGTTTTTACTGCTAAAAGCGGTCGTCTTTCTTGGGAAGCTAAGAGTTTGCTCAGAAAACTGAAGTTCAGACAGAAGCTCAGTTTTAACTTAACTGTCTTTTTAAAGGCATTAAAGGGATTACTGGCAACTAAACTCCAAAACAATAGACAGAGAAGTGACAGAAGAGGGGTATGGCTGTACTTGAAAGCATCCCCTGTATTTCCAGAGTAAAAGTCTTCTGGCAGTACACAACCGTTTAGCAAGCTATGGATGCTGTTTTTCGAATGCAAAGAACCCCATGATGTATTCTTCCAGTGGATTCTGAGCACCCCTGAGAGGAACTAGGTTTACATTTTCCATTGCACAATCACTGTACTGAAAAAACAAACTTAAAATGTTAAGTCCTGCTCAGAGTTCCTGAGGGAATACGCAAAACATTCAGCATTCTTACCAGGAATTCTACAACACTGAACAGTGTTAAATTTCCACTGTTCTCCCAGAAAATGAACAAGAATGAACCAGAACCTTTTGGGTCTAATTAAAAAATTCATTTAAAATAGCTGGAGAGGATGGCTTACATTAAAAATAATACAAGTAAGTATTTCTAAATTTCTACTCATCTAAATAAGACAAGAATAAGTGGCATTTATAACTGTTAGTATTAAAACATACATGCCTTGGGTCAGTGAATTACTCTGCTGAAGCACATGGTGAAATTATTTTATCTGATATTCCCATTTAACCAGCTGACACGTCTAACACGTCAACTAGCTGACACTGAACTGTCTCACTACACATATTCCCTTCCACAGAGAACCTTTCATCAGTAAAAAAATTAAGCGCTTTTTCTGAGCTGCTGTGATACTGTGGTAAACAGAAGTGACTAGACTTGCTTGCCCGGCATGTATGAAAATGTGTAAACATTACCTACTACCAACTCTTCGCTACACCATCACTGTCCTGCTCTTCTGTAGAATATTTTTAAGCTCTCTGGAAAACTAGGCTGTGCTAAAGAAGGGCCTCAGTGTCATTTAAATTCCAGTTGACTTCACTGAAGAAAGTTTTAGAAATGAAAGACAGTATCAAATGATGGGTAAAATTTGAAGGACAAGCAGGTGGGTTCAAATTTTGTATAAGGAGGGGAGATGGAAAATCTTTTCCATCCTTCTCACTGTATCAAAGCCTCAACAACTTACACATGTAACAAGAACATCACTTAAATTCAGTTTGCACTGTACGCAGTTCTTGCCAACACTACCTCCTAGCCTAGAATACTGAGTCGAGCTCTGCGCAGGCAAAATAGCAAGGCAGGCAGGATGCAATCGACGAGAGCTTACTACCCGCGGGGACAAAGAGCAGCATAGTTGCCTTACTGTTCCGCCAGGTCTTTCAATACACTACTAAAGGAAGGCCTGAGAAATGACTGCTTATTCAGTACAACACCGCAGAAAAATCACTGAGGAAAGCACAGTAAAGATATCGGGGACCGAATTATGGGCATGAAACAGGTAAGCTTACAGGAATTTCCTTCCAGAAAACGAGGCCTCCCATGAGCAGTGGCACAAGTAAAACCCTGAGCACAATTGGAGAGACACATTGTGTAGTAAATCAAGGCATTGTAAACTAACAGGGTTAAGTTTATTTCGCTCTGACAAGTCAGTCTCACGGTATCTGATCACAAAAATAAGTAATGGGAATGGAAGAGAAACTACTGCCTACAGACACCACAATTAAAGTCTTGCAAGACGTTGAGCCTCTAGTACCATCTCATCTTTGCCTAGGAAAAGTTCCTCATAGTATCAGCGTCTGTCTCAGGTACTTTCTGTGTAAATTTTGGGGCTTTATTTTTAGCTTTAAACTGTTACTGAACATTAAACAAAAGCTAATTGAATAATTCACTTTTAAATTCATAAGCATTTGTTAAAGTAGTACATTTTTAGAAACTGCTCCTTGGGAAACTCTCTCCCATTTGCTGTATGCTATATTAGCGAACGAAGTACACTATGTACTTGCAAAGCTGAATTTGTGCAACATTATTACCAAGACAACAGGTCTAGTTCTGCCATACTGATAAAGCTATGCAGGCTCTGTAACACAGTTCAGAGAACTGAATGGTCACCTTGGAAGCCCATAAGGCACAAAACACATCTGTACTCCCTCAAATCTCTAAGCAATAATCTCTTTAACATTGTAAAATGTACTGCTGCTTGCCATTGCCATGATGCTAACCCATATTGACAGATTAATGGAGAAGATTGAGAGGGAGGGAGAGACTACAAATGTTATAAATCATCAGTCGAGGATCTGATCAAAACTAAGATTGAAGTCTCCACCACAATCGCAAAATTCCTGTATTCCACGTCTAATAATGTGACTCCTCTGAATGCATCAAGTGATGGTTTACAAAAAGCCTCCATCACTTTGCCAATTTCTTCATACTTCATCTGTAAGGAAGCACAAAGGGATCCTGTACAGCCTGTGCATCCCTTATAGGATTGAAATTTCACTGCAAGATTGCACATCAAAACACTGGAGAAAAGCAGGCAAAATGGTTATGAACCCCACCTCCAGTTACTAATAGTAATTGTTTTGCAAGTCCACCCAGGTTTCACACAGATAGCAGGCTACCTGCAGTAAACACAAATTACTATAACTAGCTAGTCTAAATTCATTAGTGATTGAAGTCAGTCCATTTCTAATTAGTCAGGATTTGCTTAAATCTGCCTAATGTTCATATACCAAAATGACAGGTGCTTTCTACATAACCAAAACAGACTGCTTAACAGAATCTTTGACAGGAAACTAGTAAAAGAGCTAAAATCATCTGTGTGCTATGAACAGGCAGCTGTTGCAACTCTCACTGACAGTCATCAGAGATTTACGTAATTACTTGCTACTGAGAGATCACCGAAGACAACTTCATTCAGACTGAAAGAAGAACAAAACCAGAAGACCTGCCACAACAGTTAACTGGCTATAAAAGTGAGTTGGGAGAGGGGAGGGATATATGAGGGGAAGGCGGGGGGAAGAAAAGACTTGGAGCAAGATGCAACAAAAAGCGACTCACGTGCCCTTTCAAAAGCCCCAACTTTTTGATTGCATGTGACCACATTCTCTGCAGAGCTTGAGCTGTCTTCATTGTTGCAGGATATAATCTGTGAGGGGACGCCGTACATCCCCGTCTTTTCATCTGTTTCCACCACTCAACACAGTTATGTAATTCTAATACAATAGTGGCCTACATACTTAAACAAATCCTGCCGTCAGTTTCACACAGAAACACATCAAAACCAGAGTAGGGAAGTCTACCAGGAGTTTAACTAACTCTCACTTTAAAAGGCCCCAGGAAAAAGCAGTACTGTAATCTTAGGGTTTTTAAAAAAATTAAGTGTCAGAAACACGATCGCTATGTAGCAAGTTATTCTTCTTCCAAGCACATATGGGTTCACCCCACCAGGAAACCTACTTGAAACTTTAATTAACAAAAAAAAAAAAAAAAAAAAGACTTAAGAAACACAGTGCAGATTATTTGAAAATTCATATTCTGACTATAATATTTTATAGTAAAAATTACCACAACTCCATTACCTTGAGTAATGCTGTGTTTTAGCAGCCTGTATCAAGTCTTAACAATTTAACTGCTGAATCCAGGAAGTCCTTATGCAGAAATAACTGTATACATGTGAGTAATCCCTTCAGTTGCACATGTAAAATTACATATAAACACCTGCAGAACTGTGGGCTTGGCTCCAGCAAGCAAAAAGGAAAAGAGAAACAAAATTATAATAGCCGCAAATAACAGACACGCTCTCAAACATGTAGTAAGATATTTGTAAGAATGATAAGCTAATCATACAGCCAAACAGATGACTTTATTGGAAAACAGGTCAAGCTATCAGCTCCATCTATGCCGCATGAATGCTGTGAAATTTAAGCCTTAAGTGAACTTTTCCCCTAGACTTTATGTAAGTAACTTTCACAGGCAGTGACAGATAGAACACATGCCAAATTCAGTACACAGTGCTAACCAAAACCTCCATCTGTAGACTGCATTTTTCATTAGTGGGACAATTTTAACTGCAGAAGGGTAAGAATTCAGACAGCAGTGGAAAAGGTAGAGCATTTTGGGGGAGGGGTGCTTGGGGGGTTTTTTTTGGGGTTTTCCATTTAAA